CATTTCCACTGATTTCTTTTGCCAGTTCTTAATGACATGGCCACTAGTTTCAAGGAAGCTGGGAAATGAAGCCTTTATTATGGTATAAGGGGACTACATGCTCAGGTAAAGTATGACTACAATGGCAAGGAGCTTAAACTTGGTAATATCATTAGTTTACTTTTCTGCAAAAATGAAGAGAGTGTCTGCAGGGGCTGATAGGAATTTTTCCTAAATGAGGAGAGAATCTTGAGCATTCCAAACTTCAGATCTTGGTTTCTAATATTATTCTCTACTCAAAGGAAAAATACTTCTGGGAGAAATGGCTGATTCTAGAACAGGGCTAGAAAATATTCAAGATGAGTTTGGTGCATCTGGCAGCACTAGAAAGAAAGGAAGTGCTCAAAAAGTAAAATAAAACCACACAATAATGTCGGAATGTTCGTGGAACATAGGAGCCAGTGGAAAGAGCTCCCAACTGCCAAACCTGGAACAATTTGAGAAACAAAATCATAATGTAGTATTGGGTTACAACCCAAAGTACAAAACAAATATCCAAGGGTTCTTATTAAAGTAAATAAGTGATTGAAATTAAACGAGGAGGAAGAGACAAATTCTCTAAGGAATTTAAGAGAATTCTCAACTCTTTTCTCAGGAAGTTGAGTTTAACTCCACATCTACAAATGTGAGCATAGTTACTTCTTCATGTAGTGCAGTTTAGGAAGAGAGGGGAAAATGGAAAAATAGAGTACTTTGGACTTTCATCTTCTCCTGGGTCCAGACCTTTGCTACAGTCATGCTGTACCAGATCCTCAGGCAGACTAAGAAGCATCTGAATTTCGTATTGGAGCTGGGGGTAATAAAGAAGCACTCTGTTCCACCAATCTGTAATTGTTCAATCCAGATATCAGTTAGACTGGAAGAATAACCCAGAACCCTGAACAAACTTGGTCTAAATACAAGTTCTACTCAGTGTCTGCAGATCACAGTAAACTGAAGAAAGTCCAGTTTCTAAAGACTTCCAAATGAAATGTTTTACTGTAATCTTATGTTTTACTTTAATCTTCTTAAAATAAAGGTCTTCCGAGAAGTTATTTGCACAGTTTTCTATAAGCAGGAAATATTCCCCCTTTAACTGAATAAATGTATGTTGATGTGATGTTGAGGCTTATAATGATTATTAAATAGATGAAATTTGATATATATCACTAAAGCTGAAAATATACTTCAAACCTTTATACTAGTGTATAGGAAACAAACCCCTAGAATATAAAGGGGGGGAAATAGAAAAACCAAGCAGATAACACCTCGAACAGGAAGCAAGACCAATGAGAGTTTGTACCCTTCATAGGCTATGGGGAATGGTACTTCCCCCAGACCCATAATTACCATAGTCTAATCATGAGAAATCTCTGGACATACCACAATGGAGAAATGTTCTTCAAAATTCCTGACCAGGATTCCTTGAGCTGTCAAGGTCATTAAAATAAAGGGTAGTCAGAGGCGAGAGGAGCCTACGCCTGAATATATCAGACTAAATGTAATGTTATTCTGCACAGAAAAGACGAGTAAGTAATAACTAAAGAGATACCAAGGAAATAAGAACTTTAGTCAATGACAGTGTATCAATATGATTAATAGTGACAAATGCACTACATTGTAAAATGACAATGGGTAAATTCTGGGAGAGGTGTATATGGCAACTCCCTGCATTCTCTCCTCAGTTTTTCTGTAAATCTAAAATTGTCTGAAAATTAAAAGCTTATGAGGGTGGGGAAGAGGCAGGTAGTGAGGACATTTTGCCTCTTTCCTGTGTGGAAAAAGAGGCAGCTCTTTCAGATTTCAGAGATAACAATTCACAGCCCAACCAACTTTGGGCTCATCTATTGTATTCTTGACACATGGGAAAAGAAAATTCACTGTTTAAGCAGTTTGGGGCAGGTGTTTTGTTTCCTGATTCCTCTGTCTTGAATGCCTATTTCTCCATCCTTACTTCTTCCAACAAATAATTATGCTAGATTCAAGTTTCAAACACTGTGATAGGCAAGACTCCTGTATGAAGATCTCTGTTAATCAGTGCACAAGGTCTGCATAGTTCTGGACACTGAACATCATGAGTTGTAACCCCATGATTAGATTATGTTAAATGGCACAGTTGACTTTAAGAATAGATTAGGATCATGGGCTGGAGTGATAGTATAGTAGGTAAGGCACTTACCTTGCACATGGCTTTTTGGGTTCTATCCCCGGTTCCCACATAGTCCTCTGAGAATAATCAGGAGTTACCCCTGATTGCAGAGCCAGGAGTATCTCCTGAGCACTGTCATGTGTGGCAGTTTTTTATGCAGCAAACAAAACTAACATACCACTTCTCTGGAATCTTCCCTTCAGTCCCCAGCCACACATGTGACAAACATCTTTCTGCTTATGTGGCACATCACACACATCCCTGTAATAGGTTGAGACACTTACTATAATGATCCATTCACTTCTCTGCTGTTCTCCAAGATTCTCAGTGCCTGGGAAGTGGCAAGTACATCACTATCCCGGGCACTGGACAGCAAAGCAAAAAAAATTTTTTTGAGACTTCATTAAGAAAAAAAAATGAGTTTGTAATCATATATACTAAAGACCTAGGATGTTAAAGTTTAAAGTCTAATAAGGTAGAGGAAAGAAGGAAAAGAATATATATATATGTATATATATATATATATATATATATATCTCCTCCCGTTGTTCATCGATTTGCTCGAGCAGGCCCAGTAACATCTTCATTTTGAGACTTGTTGTTACTGTGTTTGGCATATTGAATACGTCATGGGGAGCTTGCCAGGCTTTGCCGTGCAGGCGAGATACTCACGGTAGCTTGCTGGGCTCTCTGAGAGGGGTGAAAGAATTGAACCCGGCTCGGCCAGGCTGGCTGTGCGCAAGGCAAACGCCCTACCACTGTGTGCTCTCTCTCTCTCTCTCTCTCTCTCTCTATATATATATATATATATATATATATATTGCTTCTAAGAACCCAGAAGTGAATATGTCCCTCAGGTTAGTATGTGAGGGAAGAAGCGAACAGAGGTATGAGGAAAAATTTATCTCTAGAAGACTTGGTAAACATCAATTGAATGCCTGCTATGTGGTCAGGCTAGAAACATTGAAAGACAATATAGAATTCTGCTCTCAATGATATATCCCCCTTTCTGTGGCACTCCAGAATGTTATAAACCAATGAAATGTTAAAGATCTTAATACCAGACACACATAGTCTTCAAGTCCCCCACTTTTTCGTTTGTTTGTTTTGGGGCCACACCAGCAGTGCTCAGGATTTACTCCTGGCTCTGAGCTCAGAGTTCACTCATGGTGATGCTACCAGTCCATATGGAGTGCTGGGTATCAGACAGGATCAGTTGCATGCAGTGCAAGCACCTTACCCTCTGCCTATCTCTTTGGTCCCAAGTCCCCCACTTTTTAAACAAGTGGAAGCAATGACTGGCTGTTTAGTCCTGGAGTGTTTTTGTTTTCAGATCACACCCGGTGGTGTGCTGGGTGCCCAAGGGCTAGGATCTAACCTGGGACGTCCCACATACAAAACATGTGCCCCAGCCCCTCGACCTATCTCTGTGGTCTTAGCTCTGTAGGTTGTAGGTCTATTAGTATCCTCCGTTCTTTGTGTTGGGTACCTAATTCTTGGTGAACCAATACTGATCAGCGCAGTCTGGTAATCATATTGGTGGTTTTCATATTCCTAGTATTAATGATCATCCTGGTTCCTGCACCTTTGGCCCTGTAAAAAAATGATAATAACAGAACAAAATCAAGGAAGCAATTCAGATATTTTGATATTACACAACACCCTCGCTTTCACTACACCAAGGCCACAGACTCTTCTTGCACTGTGGAATTAGGGCGACTGCTCACCTCGGTGCCCGCTTGGGTGCGCTCCTATCTCCCTTATTTCGGCTGCTGGGGACGAATGTAATCTGGAAAAGGCAGTAAGCGGTGGGCTCCGCGAGGTACCCTTAACTGGGGGTCAGATAGCAAAGGAAGTTGTAAGGGACCTTTGTGAAAAGGAAGCCGAGAAGGGAAGATTTCTGGATCTGAGTAGCGTGGGAGTCAGAAGAAATGCTGCATCGCAGGTGAGTCCCATCCCCAAGGGCATCCAATGCTGGCTCAATGAATTGTGCTTTGTGGGGGACGTGTGGCCGAAGGCAGGCTTCAATGATGGAGTTTCGGGGTTTAGATGCTACCACTGGCTTTGCGGGGTGGAGTCTCAGTGGGCCGAGGTTTCCACATCTGTCGAACTGGAGCAGTTAACACTCGCTGGGCTGACCTGAAGAGTACAACAGTTGTATGCACGAAACCCCTATCGCGGTGCCTAACAACAAAACAGATCCACAAAAACCAACCAGACAGAAAAACACAGGTCAAATTCCGAAGGAGGACACTCCGGGGTGGTGGTGGCGGTCCACGGGTGATATATTAGCAAAAAAAAAAAAAAGTCTAAAGTGCAGTAAGATAAATTCTGAAGTGAGATTCCCCTAAATCAAGTAAGACACAGAGGGCTTTTTGCTTGCACACGGCTTGTCACGGCCTCGAGGCGGATGCTGCCCGTCCCGGTTCAGCAGGCCCCCAGCTCGACCCCGAGGCCACACGCGAGACCTTTTTCCGAGGCCGCGGCGCCCAGGCCGGGCACGGCACGGACGCTCGAGGACGGACGTGCGAGCGCGCCGTGTACCCGGGCCGGGGCAGGCTGCCCAGGGCCAGGGGCGGGGCCGCGAAGGGGCCGAGCCCGGGACTGGGAATCCCCCGAACCGCCCAACAGCAGGGAGGGCGGGGCCCGCGGAGCGTGCGTGGGCGCCGCGGCCACCGCGCAGGCGCAGCAGGCGCCCCCCTGGGCCCCGGCGCGTGCCCGCGGCGGGTTCCGCTCCCGGCTGACGGAGGGCTGCGCGCGCACGAGGGTCTGGCAGTGACGTGCGCCGCGCAACGCCAGACGTCACCGGTCGGTGTGTAGTGGCGGCCGGGCTACCCCCGGCGGCGGCGGCGGCGGCGCCCGAGGACGCTGGTGGGGGCCGCTGGGTGCGGCGTGGAGGGTCGCGAGGTTCGCCGCGACGATCCTGGACGACGAGCCGGAGGCCCCGCCGCCCCGGCCGCGGATTCGCCGCCCTCGCCCGCGCGACGGCCTCTGGCGGGCGCTCTCGGCTCGCAGCTTCCTCCTCGGCTGCCCCGCTTTCGGGGGGCGGGGGGGCGGCCTCGGCGCCGCGGCCGCCTGCAGCAGCGAGAAGCGCCGGCGAGGGCCCTGCCGCCTCGTGACGGTCCACGCGCTCGCCAGCCCGCCCGGCCCGGGCTCCATGTGAAGGAAGGACGGGCCTGCCCGCCCTGCCCCCGGACCCCGGAGCCCGGACCGCGGACCCGCACCCGGCCCCGCGCCCCTCGCCCGCCTGCTCGCGCGCCCCTCCGGCCCACGGGGGTCCGCGGCCTCCCCGCGCGGGGGCCGCCGTGACAGGCCGCGCGGGGGCGGAGGGGCCGGCTCGGAGGCGGCGGCGGCGGCCCCTCCTCGGGCCTGCGGCTCCTTACGTCCCCGCGGAGCGGCCGGTACGTGTTGCTGGTGTGTGCTTGTGTCTGTACGTGTGTGTCTGTCTGTATGTGTGCGTGTGCGAGGGGGAGAGCGCGCGCCCGAGAGAGAGAGAGAGAGAGAGAGAGAGCGCGCGAGCGAGCACGAGAGCGCGCCCGCGCGCCTGAGGAGGGGAGTGGGGAGGGGGCCCCCCGGCGCCGGCCTGTGGCCGAGCTCCCGGGGAGGGCGATTTCGCTAGGTGGTTTCGCCGCGCTCCGGGTGGGTGGGCGGATCTCGGGCCGCCTGCCCCCAGTCGGTCCCCAAGCCAGTTAAGCGCCCGGCGAGGTGACTGCAAGGCTCTGGAGCTGTCAGACACGTATTTTCTGTCGGGGGGGGGGGCTTTTTTTTTTGAGAAGGGAACCCACAGCTTCCCCCCCCCCCCCGCCCCAGGAGAGCCACGGCGTTAACGCGCTACGAGCGGAAAAAGTGCCCCGCCTGGGCACAGCCCCCTCCACCTCCCCACCGAGGAGGGCTTCTTCCCGCTGCGTGCTAGCAGCGCTGACCGCGCAACGCACTCCCTTGGGCCGCCGGCCTCTTCTTCAGGGCGTTCGTCTCTCCGTTTTAAAGATGAAAGAGGAGGCTCGTTGGAGAGGGCTTGAAGGACCGTGCCAGAGTATCCATCCCGTCAAGGGTCATGCGGCCGGATGATGCGGGAAGCCTTGGAGCGGATTTGGTGCCTCTTCCGTGGGGCTGTGTATTTCTGCATCTTGCAAAAAATTCACATGAGGCGAATGAGAAGAGCCGAACACTGACCTTCCTTCCCCCCTCCCTCCTCACTCTCCAACCTTCTCTTCTCCCCACCCCCGCCCCCCGGAAAATTCTAAACATTTGGGTAAATATAGTTGACTCTCTAAGGTAGGCTATTTTGAAGTGTTATCTGCAGCCTAACCATATCCTATTTAAAAAATTTAAAAAAAAAACGTGGCTCTGTTGCTTTGCCTTTACCTCTTTTGCAATACGACTGGACAGGAAAAAGTTCTTTTTTTTTATCAAAAGCTGTTTATTAAAGTATATTTTGGCAATAGCATATTTATTGAAAAGTTACAAATCGATATGAACAGGTTTTTTCGGGGAGGGGGGTGTGTGTGTCTGCGTCTTTGTGTCTGCCTGTGTGTGCATGCGTGCGCCATTCTTGGGCGAACTGGGGCTGTTTGGGGGAGGATGTGGCGGGGGGCCGCAAAAGAAGCCTTGGCCACATAGAACATCGGGCCTCAAACATGGCAGAGCCTATGTGTTCTACCTCCGCAGCCACATCCCGTTTTTTAACTCTGCAGCCACATCCCGGGCCCCATGTGCAAGTGTTTTTTTTTTTTTTTACAAAAATGTAAAGTAATAACTATTGTAATTTAGATAACATGGATTCAATAGTATTGCTTCTGTTTAAAAGTTAACTGTACCTTAACCACCAGTGTACCCTCTGTACCTTTTCTCTATGTATTTCCTCTGTTTTGCTCTTACATATTTTGTGAATTCTAGTGTAATCCAGAGATCTTTCATCCATTTGAACTAACTTTTGTATATGGTGTGAGATAATTGATCCAGATCTTCTTTCTTTTTTTGCATGTGGTTATCTAGTTTCTTCAATACCTTCTATGTAATTTTCATGTCATCTGCAAATAGTAAGAGTTTTAACGTCTTTTCCAATTTAGATGCCTTTGATTTCTTTTTCTTGCTTTGTTGCTGTGTATTTCCAAATCTATAGTTAATAATAGTGGGGAAAGTGGACAGCTTTGCCTTGTGCATGATCTCAGATGGAAGGCTTTCAGTTTTTTGCCACTGATGTTAGTTGTAAGTTTATTGTTCCTTCTGAGTTTGGATTTGTAAGTTTTGCCTATTTTTTTTTTAAACCAGCTCCTGGTTTCATTTATCCTTTGAAATATTGTATTCTTGATTTCTATATTATTGATTTCTGCTCAGGCTTTTATTTCCTTCTATTCAGTTTGGGATTCGTTTGTTCATTTTCCAGTTTCTCAATTTGAAAGTTAGGTTATTTATCTGACCTTTTTCTTTTTTTCCTGATATAGTTCTATATTGCTATGAACATTCCACTTCATACTGCCTTTGTTGTGTCCTGTAGGTTGTTAGTTGTATGTCTTCATTCTTGTTCATTTTGAGAAATTATTAAATTTCTTCTTTGATTTCCTTCTTTGACCCAATGGTTGCTTAGTATGTTGTTCAGTTTCCAGATGTTGGTGCTTTCCGTGGCTTTATTTTTATAGTTAATTTCTACCTTCATAGGATCGTGTACTGAAAAGATCCACTTGATTTTATGTGATTGCTATTTTGTTGACTTTATGAACACTCGAATTCTTGGGGTCTGTCCTGGAAAATTTTTTTTTCTTTTTGGGTCACACCCAGCGATGCACAGGGGTTACTCCTGGCTCTGCACTCAGGAATCACCCCTGGTGGTGCTCAGGGGACCATATGGGATGCTGGGAATCGAACCCGGGTTGGCTGCGTGCAAGGCAAACGCCCTACCTGCTGTGCTATTGCTCCAGCCCCCATGTCCTGGAGAATTTTTTGTATGCACTGAAGAATAATGTGTATTTGGCTTTTCAGGGGTGCTGGGTCTGTTTTTTATGTGTTAATCCTTGTTCTTCCGATTTCTTTTTTTCAAGTTTGATTTGTGGTTTTTGGGCCATACTTGACAGTGCTTAGGGATCATTCCTAGTTCTGCACTCAGGAACCACTCTCCTGGTGAGCTTGGGGGACCATTTCAGATGCTGAGGATTAAACTGGGGTCAGCTGCCTGCAAGGCATTGCCCTACCCCATATGCTCTATTATTATTCCAGATCCTCAATTTTTTCTTTATGGTCCTTATTTCTTGATATTGTTTGGTTGATGTATTCAGTGACAAGAGTCAAGTGGAAAGTTCTCTTTTGCACTATTATTGCATTACCATGCATATAGTACCTCAGATCTATTAGCAGTTTGCCTTTGTTTGCCTTTATGTATTGATGAGTTAAGTCCTCTTAATAATTTGTCAACTCCTTAACTGGTATGTAATGCCTGTCCCTATCCTTTCTTTAACTTGAACACTATTGGGTTGGGACCCACTCAGTGGTTTACTCTGCTCAGGACTCACTCTTGGCAGTGCTCTGGGGAGACCATTTGTAATGGTGGGGATTGAATCAGGGCAGGCCACTTGAAAGGCAAGCACCTTAACCTCTGTCCTCTCTTTTCAGCCCCCTGCATTTTTTAGTATACTTTTAATCTGTATGATTGTTTTTCCAGCCTTTCACTCTGAGCTTGTGTTTATTGTTAGAGTTCTGTTCTGTCTCTTGTAAGCAACTAACGATTGGACTTCGGGGCCAAAGAGGTAATAGAGGGAGGGATTAAGGCACTCATCTTGAGTGTGGTTGATCCTGGTTCAGTCCTAGGACTCTATTGCCCCCAAGAACCCCTGTGAGTAGTCTCTGAACACTGATCCAGGAGCAGCCTCTAAGTACTACTAGTTGTGGCCCCAAATTAAAAAATAGTAAATAATACTTTTTTAAAAAAGGTAAAAAAGGTAAAGGCCCTCCCGTTGATCGTCGATTTGCTCGAGCGGGCCCAGTAACGTCTCCATTGGAGACTTTGTTGTTACTGTGTCTGGCATATCGAATACTCTCGGTAGCTTGCTGGGCTCTCCGAGAGGGGCGGAGGAATCGAACTCGGGTCGGCCATGTTGGCCTATTGTAAGGCGAACGCCCTACCCGCTGTGTTGGGGGCTGGAGCGATAGCACAGCGGGTAGGGCGTTCGCCTTACAAGCGGCCAACATGGCCGACCCGAGTTCGATTCCTCCGCCCCTCTCGGAGAGCCCGGCAAGCTACCGAGAGTATTCGATATGCCAGACACAGTAACAACAAAGTCTCCAATGGAGACGTTACTGGGCCCGCTCGAGCAAATCGACGATCAACGGGAGGGCCTTTACTTTATTTTACTTTTTACTTATACTTTTTTAAAAAAGGTTGAATTTTGCTGCTCTGAGCCTTTTGATAGAAGAGTTAAGTAAATTGACATTTAGAGAAATTATTGATATGGAAGAATTTGTTGCATTTTTTTCTATGAAAATTTTGATCATTTTTGCCACTTACCATTTTTTTTTTCATTTAGTATTCCTTATAGAGCCGTTCTGGTGGCAACAAATCCTCTCAGCTGTTGTTTGAGAATGTTGTCACTTCCTCAACTCTGAGTGATAACTTTGCAGGGTGAAGGACTCTTGGTTGGAGGTTCTTTTCATTCAGTACTCTGAATATATCATTTCGGTCTTTTATTCCTCTAGAGTTTCATTTTAGAAATCTGAAGAGAATTTGACCTTGTTTCTTTTTTTTTTTCTTTTTGGGTCACACCTGGTGATACACAGGGGTTACTCCTGGCTCATGCACTTAGGAATTACTCCTGGCAGTGCTCAGGGGACCATATGGGATGCTGGGAATTGAACCCACGTGCAAGGCAAATGCCCTATCTGCTGTGCTATTGCTCCAGCCCCACTTTGTTTCTTATGTGTTAGTATTGATTCTTTTATTTTAAGTAGTTTCTCTGGTTCTTCCATTTTGATTATAATGTGTTTTGGTGATGTTTTGTTTGGATATATTTTGTTTGGCACTGTCTAGGCATCCTGGATCATCAGTTCTGCAACTTATTATTGATAGGTCAGTTTATTCTAATGCATAAAGAATAACAGGGAACTATTAGTTATTTGCTTAAAATTTCATTATTGCCAGTTTGGCTGCTGGATTGTGAAGCAGTCACAACACACTAATTTGTGCATTGTCTTATGCAGTATTTCGGAGTTGTCAAAATTTAGCAAGTAGAAAGTTATCCTTTAAAATGTTATTTATTTATTTATTTATTTGCAGTGCTGGGACAGAATCCAGAGCTGTCACCAGCTGTGCCGAGGACACTCCCAGCAATTCTTGGACTGGGGTGTTGAGTGTTCTGGCAGACTGTCTGGTGGTGCTTAGCACTACAAGGGAGAACTGTATCCTGTATGCTTG